CCTGGTAGTGGGGTTTTTGTGCATGTTAAGCAGTGGCACACCAGCTCCTGCCCACAGCCTGGCCTGGGTGCACAGTCCCGGCCTGCGTATGTCAGGAAACAGAGGTGCACATTGAGAAACACTTTGGCATCTTCCACTGCTGTCTTTTATTTGTCACACATAAATAATGAAGGCATCTACAGGGTGGGGGAGGAAGAGCTTATACACTGAGAACTAGTGAACTTATGCTCTCTTCATCCCTTCATCCAAACAACTGCCTTTGGCGTGAATAACGGCGCAGCTGATGTGAAGCTCTGTATTGATCCATTGCTCAGGAAGGTCCACTGGTAGTTCCTTGGACTTTTCCTGAAGGTATGGCTGTAACAGGTTGGTACTGTTGGGATCTGTTGCTTCTGTCTCCATCTCACACCAGACAAGTTCAACAGGGAGACACAGAGAGGGGGAGCTCCCAGCCCTTGCTCTGTGCAGCTCTCTGTCTCCCACTGACACACAGATGTGATTACCTCTCCTGGCTGGAAAACCTGCTTGGGAGACTGTTGTGCACAAGTATAAGTAAAATGGTGTCTGCAGTTGGAGAGGCACCCCAGGGTGGATTTGGGAATAGTCTGCTTTTCCCAAGGAAACAATAATTTGGCAAAAAAACTCTAGATAACCTACAAATGCTGCTTTATTCTGTGAGGTAGGCTAAGTGTGAGGAGTTGTGTCACCCATAGCTGGTATCTCTCCACCACCCAGGCACTGTGGTGTTTTGGGGGACAGCTGCAGATTTATCCTGGAGTTATGGCAGTGCAGCCTGGGGATTTCCCTTGTTGTTTTGGCTTTATCACAAGAAGAGATACCGGGTGATGGTGGCATAACCAATGAAGGATGTGGACTCTGCAAGGCAGTGTCAGTTTTCTCACAAGGCTGGTGCTTGTTCATTGATGGGTTGTTCAGGAGCATGCAAAGTGAAGGCATTCCCTGGATGTCTGTCCTGCCAGAAAGCAGTGTTGGAAAGTGGAAGTTTTACACATTTTCAAGGGCCTTAAGTGGTTCTGAGCCATTAAACTCTGTACAGAAAAGGGGCTGTCCCTGCTGTCCTGTGGCCAGAGAGGTCTGGAGCAGGCTGCCAAGCCTGCA